GAGAGTTCGAGTCTCGAAGTCTCTTTTCCTGGTTTCATTAAGTTCCACATCTCTCACGGAGTGCTCTGGTTTTTTACAGAAGTCACACCATGGGCGACCCTTTTTTCTCAGACATCGGGAGCTCAGGTAGTGAGAGCCGAAGCATCTTACTCAATTGAGCAATTGCGATTCTCCCACATAACATTTTTGCGACTTCCTGCGAGGGACTCAGAGAAGACTTCTCTGATACCCATCAATGGTTTCATGCCCAGAATTCGACCTCTGACTTCGTCCAAAGATTTGTTTAACCCTAAGAGAAATCTGAAAATTCTCTTCTGTTTAACAAAGGTACGAAACTTCTTTGCATCTTCCGAACAGCTCCATTGGTAATCTTCGAAAGCATCTAGCTGTTGCCAACTGCGAGTGAGGAAATTGTAATACTGGGTGACATTCATTTCACTTTGTCGCAGCTCGTGGAGAAAAGATTCAACCTCGAAAATGGTTGAGGTGTTGTCGTGATTGGAATAAGACTCTCAGACCGCTTCTCATATTTCTCGAGCAGTCTCATACAGCATGAAGTTGTCTCCAATCTCGGAAATCATAGAATTTAACAACCACGATATTACCATGCTGTTTTCTATCTTTCAAGTCCTAGCATGTTGATCGTGAGCTGGTGGCTGTATGATTTCACCAGTTAGATATTCATCACAACCTTTCCCGCGGACGAACAGGAGCACAGACGTAGACCATTAAAGATAGTTGTTGCCATTGAGTTTGTGGTTGGTAATGAACGATGAAGATTGTTCCACCAGTCCAGAGTTGATGTGAGTGGGAAGATAAGCGCCTGAGAGAACTTCGGGTGGAGAAGAAGTTTGCTCCTCCGTGGCCATTTGAAGGTTTTGGCGTAGGTGGATTAGATTTTCTGGATCAAACAATGCTCTGATACCATGTAGTTTTGAAGGGAGAAGGATTTCGAGAGAAGGAAGAGAATTGTTTCTCTACTATTTTCCCCTTGCTTTACAGAAAAGATGGAGTGCCATTTTATAGGCTTCATGCATACGTAACAAACATTAAAACAAAATGAAAACAGAAGGACTATTGTGGTAGTGGAGCAGCTGGCAATGCAACCTGTCCAAACCAGAATATTCAGCAAATACTAAAGTACCCTCTAACAGCTAATGCTAATTTTCTACACAAAATATAACATAAATTAACAGTGGTAAAACATTAGAAGATAAAGAAATGGAACACATTGATTGAAGATTGAATGAAGTATCCTCACCTCCACCACACATGATGAAGGGCCTTTTGGAAAAAATCGAACAGCACCTCTGCCATTTGAGAAATCAATTTATCAAGACCCTTCTATCAACTTAAAATGCATAATATAACAGTACATTAGACACAACATATAACATGTAACAGTTGGACCTGGTTTCATCAATCAATGGAACTGGGGAGTGAGTGTAATCATAGAGTTGATTCTACACACAGCCCGTGTGTTCAAGTAATAAAAAAAAAAAAAAGCTGAAGAATAGATATTACTCGTGATGGCTCTAATGGCTTCCCTTTTCTCTGTTTCTGTTTCTTCTGTTGTAGTTCATAACGTGCAACCAAAGGACAACTTAAGGAGGATTAAGACTAAAGAAAATCAAGTTATATAAAATGTATAAAAGAAGCTGAGAATATAACTCCAAAAGTAACGATGCATTTTCATTAGAATATAGAAAAACAAAGGTGAAAGCAACCCTCATCATCTTCATCCATTTTGTATGACAGGTGGGCCCCCGAAACCTAATCAAGCTTTTCAATTATTTCCGGAAGAAATTAAAACTATGAAAAAGAATTTTGTATTTTTTTTTCAAAATTTTAACTGAAATTCACAACTCATCTATTCCTAGATGTTCATGCCCACATTAAACCATCATGTTTCCATCTCATTTAGTTCCTATTTTACACATTCAGTCTTCGAGATATTTTTTTATCGAGATGGGAGAAAACACATGATTATCGACCATACATTGCTTGCTGNAGTTAATTTCCAGCCATGTCTCTTAGTACCATATCTAAGTACATTGTTCCAAAGTTATAATGTAAAATGAATACTCCTATCTTAATTTACATGAACGGAAGCATTCAGCAACGTGATGTGTAAGTGGGATATAAGCAGGAGATTATTGTGTGTTCCAAATACTAGTGCCCTTTATCTGCTTAACTTCTTAAAGAAATTTTGCAAAAGATGCAAATTCTTTCTCTCAGTTACCTGTTAGGGAGACCTTCAAGAGATCTCCAGTGGATTTTCTGATTTGGAATGGGCTGCAAGAAGTAAATCATCACATAACTTGATGGAAACAATGTAAAACTACAAACAAATTTACTGTAGTTTTTTTTTTCCATGAAAAGAGAGAGCAAAAAAAAAAGACAAAGGAAAACGGGGAAAAGATTTGAGATATTCCATGAATATTATACCTGCATGTTTCGAGCAAGCCAAGAGTATTCAATATCTTGACCAAATGCTTTATATTTCAATGACCATCGAGATAAGTCAGGCTTGTCTTCCACTATCTATTGGAACATAATAAAAATCTTTCACTCTTTTACCAATTGAAATTGCAATTTCTCCAAATCATCAACGGTAAATCATGTTCATCCTTGCAAAGCAAAACTTAAACGACATCATTGTCAAAAACCCGATTAACCTATGGTCTAAACAAAATTATGGAAAAAGTTTATATATGTATGTATCTTAAAGATGAAGGAACTAACTGTCGATATGTACCTTAACAGATGAAATGAAGGGCATCCATTGAGGGATCGCTTCCCGATCAGAATAAAATTTATAAGCAGCAGATGCAGGCACATCAATTTCCATCTTTACCCTGCAATTTCATCATCGTCGCCAGCAATTAATCATTAACCTCAAAAGGATCCACCTCCAATTAATAGCACAAGCACGCTAATTAGTCACTCTTAAAACTGATCATTGAATCAATGCCCAATGAAATTTTTTAATCAACACGCATACCAAAGAAACGCGATATACGAAACACGATTACTGAAAATTCGAAGAAGAGAGATGAAATTACGTGCAATCTTGCCAACTCATGACAGGGGAGGAGAAGGGCTTGGAGGCAGTGGAGAAGTTGCGTTTAGGAGTCCCATTTGGGATTCTAAGAAAGAGTTCAGTTAGAGACAATGACTTCAAAGAAGAAGAGTTCCTGCAACTGGCATTGTAGGGGATAGAAGTTTGGGACTTTGTGACGGAGAAGTGGAGTAGACCGGAAGAATATGGCGTTGAATTAAAGGCGACTGCTGTTGCAGACATTTCTTAAAGGCTACTGCAGGAAGAAGAAGTCAATCTGACCACCAAGTCCACAAACCCAAGCTCATTATCTTCCTCCCGTGCCTTCTATATTTTACGATATAATGCTACCGTAAGATAAGTCTGTTAAAAATGGAAACATTGTTCATTAAAGATGTCCTCACACAAATTTATTAAAATTATATTTAATTTTAAAATATTATAATATATTAATATTAATATTAATAATTTATTTATCAAAGAAAATAAATAATTCTTATACTTTTTCTATCATTTGAATATCTACAATTATTTCTATAAAAATAATAATTTTTTTTAATATAACAATAATTTTTATAACTATTTTAATTAAATAAAAAATAATTTTTTATTAAAAATATTTCAACTAAAAAATTGTTGTAACACTATCTTTATTAGTCATAATACAAACCCAAACAAAAAAAATCTAAGTTTTGTACAAGTTTGAGGGTTGTGAAAACTTGCGTTTAGATATGAATTTTCAGAATTTAAAAAAAATAAAAAAAAATAATAATAATAATAAAACTGGATTCAACGAAATGTAATTTGGTTGATCTTCAGTTCAAGAGGTTGATGATTGAAAAAATCACTCTATTGTAATGTTGTTTTGGTTATTTTTAATTGGGATAGTTTAAAATAAAAAATTTAAGAACAATATATATATATATATATATAAATACACACACACACATAGAGATACACAAAAAGAGGAACACAAAAAACCCTAAAGTGAAGTTGAAATGTAAAACTGTTACCTTTGTTTTTTGCCTTCCTCACCCAAATGCATTCTACTCTGGCATCTGCCTCTCCTCCACATCTACAATCACTGTTTCCTATCTTCCTCCTTTGTTTTGTGTTTATTTCTCATCTCTCTTATGTTTTTGTTTGCCTCTTTTCTCCATTGTATATTCATTTATCTGTTATTTCAATTACATTTCTATTATAATAGAAATTTATTTATTTTTATCAATTCCTACAAATTTAATTAAAACAATTCTTGAATGAGTTATTTAACTTTAGAGATGAATTAAAAAAAAATCTTTATTAGTTTTATTTCATATTTTTTTATGAAAAAAATAAATTTTTTTTATCGAATGATTAGAAAAAAAAAGATTTTAGATTTCTTACAAAAATAATTTTAAAAATTCAAAATTATAAAAATATTTATTAACAACAACACAATGAAAGCAATCAATCAATATATATTAATTTAAAATCTGATTCAAATCTAACATAGCACTTATGTATTTTTATATGTCCGTCTTTTCAATTATATTTGTGTTATATATTTTTCTATTTTTTAATTTTGATCTATATCATTATCTATCTTTCTATTTATTCTGCATTTGTCTTACTAGCAATGTTAAAGTTTCATTCACTCGTATTTTCTATCATGTGCTTGCTCTTGTATCTTGTATACTTTTTTTTTTTCCTTTGAAAAAACTCTCTTCCCTCCCTTACTCTTTTTTATTTATATTTAGTTAAAATTATTTATCTCTAATATCCTGTTATATTTTGTAACGGCCCCGGAAATATTAAAATGAAATGAGTATTTAAATATATCAAATGCGGAAGCGAGATCAAAATTTCAGTTAACATCCCTTACACGAAAAACAAAAAAC